TTGAGAGCAATGAGTAGAACCACAAGTAGTACACCCATCACTGCAAACAGAGCAATCCAAGCTATCATCATGTAATTATTATGACAATGTCCACACTTGTTTGATCCCATTAGTAGACTGTATCCCTCTGTACATGATCCACACATTCTGTGTCCTCTATTATCCACACATTGAGTATGAGTGTGATTCAACTTGAAGGTAACAGGATTAGGAGAACAATAGAGGAGACAGTCCTCATTGATAATGCATGCATTAGGATTGGTTTCATTAGCATTGAAAGGTGTAGTGGTATGATATGTTCCAATCCACAGTAGACCATTGTGTGTAATGTTTAGAGTATTTATATCACATGTGACATTCTCTCTTGAAACACTTTGACTGCAAGTACAGGAATCTTGTGAACTGCTAATACTGAAACCAATGGGACATTCATTAACAATGAAAGAAGAAACAATATGATTAAGTGCAGAAGAATTATGTGTTGTATAAAATGATAACAGGCTTACATGATGTCTTGTAGGAGTCAGTTTAGGTGTGTATTCAATCAATGAACAAATATTGGGAATATATGTTTGATTGACCGGTAGTCTTGATAGAGTTGAATTATCATACACTTTTACTATACCATCAGTGGCAGTTAATTCATAATAATTATATTTTATGCCAAACAAAGCCACATGGTACTTCAGTGTTTGACCTGGATAGATGTGCTGCTTGCCTCCATTATCTAAACAGTTTTCAATGATAGTTGCAGTATGAGGATCACAAAAGCATAATCCTACCGCATCACCTGTTGAACTAATGTTTGGGTTTGTCAAGTTAAAATTATTGCCAGAATAATCATCAATAATGTTGAACTCGGTATTATCTGTTTCATGGTATCCATACATATCACCACCAACCAGGCCAGCACTATTATTTATTAATGTAAGAGGTATGTCTGGCATTCTTAATACTATAGGAAAATTTGCTAAATTTTCCACAAAGAATCCTCCTCCTTTATAAGAAGCATGATTATCAATAAACTCCAAGTTAGCTGATGATGATACTATCAATCGTGATGAGTCATTTATTGCTAATCCTCCTCCAACTACTCCAGTATTGTTCTTGAATATGAAATCATTTTTAATTGTTACTAATGATGCTATAAGACTCAATCCTGTATTGGTACTGTTAGCAACAGTAACATTACTGAGACTAATAGCATTACTGTTCATTATCTTATTTCCTCCATTTCCAATAAGTTGAGTATCTATTATATCGATTTGGGTTAGTCTCATAAATATTCCATCACTGAATAATCCTTCATTTATATTGTCATATATCAAACATGATTTAATGAGACACTGACAGTTAACTTTTTGAAGTCTAGGGAAGAAGAAGTCACTGCTGGTACTCAGTCCATGCTTATTACGGTAAAACTGACTGTCCTCAATTACGAGAGTAGAATTTAATTGGACATCAGGAAACCTGCAATCATTTGGTTTTGAATCTCCATGAAAAGCGACAGACAGTCCACTTCCAGAACTAAAATCGTGAAATAACGATTTGACGATAGAAATGTCAAAAAGACTATCACCCAGAAGTAAAGAAGGACTCTTTGCCAAATTGTGAAAGTCAACACTATCAATGGTGGCTATCACTTTATATGAGGTACCATGATGTATATTTGCTTTCATTCGACAGTTAGTAAATGTGAGATTAGTCAGTGCCAATGAGTAATCGTGTAGTTCAATGCTGCATTCATCAGTAGGGCTGAGCGGAAACCATGGGTGGTGATACAAAATCTCCAAATCATAGCCAGTAAAAACTGATGATGAGATCTTAACATCAAAAGCATTTTCTAAACTTAATGTAGTCAGGCCATGAGCAGTAAATAGAGAGTCAGTTATTGTAATGTTGTTAGCTGACTTAATATCCACTGAATAATCAATAAACGATACGTTAGAAATAGTGACACCATTGCTAGCATGATCATCATCAGAAGTAGTAAGAAAAGAGTTCTCTCCACCAGTAAAAGTGGTGTTAGCTATTGTAATGTTGTCGGATGAATCAATATCCACTGAACAATTAACAAACAGCATGTTAGAAATAACAACATTGTTGCTACTATAAATAGTAAAAGTGTTAAAAACATCATCGTTGCAGAGAATACTAGGAGACTGATCCAGGCCATGTAGAGTAACATTCTTTACTGCAGCAATGTAAACATCATCATTGATGGCAGTGGTTCCAATGAAGTAGAATGTGATGTTAGAACTGAAACCAAGCAAATACTCATGGTAATACACTGATAAATTGTAACAAGGTGACTGAGTAACTGAACTGCAGTCATCAGACACATAATACTGATGAGGGGAGACACTGCAAGAGCTACTGAAGAATAAGAGAACAACCACTAACAGGAGAGACATAGCTACTGTCTGGACTGACTACTGACTGGTACAACTGGCATATGAACTCAAACTATTTAAGCTACAAGAAACTTTTATGGGCTACTCATTTTCCTCCAAATAGGGAAAATCTGACACATTATAGTAATTGATAACATAACCTCTTCCTGTTATTCAGAAAGGACATGCATGTACAGACGATGAGCTGCCAATAACACTGTCTGCTATGAACAGCCAGGAATACTGTCTACTGTGAAAAACTAAACAAAAACTGACCAGCAAACATAACAATAATAATTATACTCCATATACACATGTACATGTGTAGTTATGTTTTTCTAACAGCACACATAAACATTGAACTGCATGCCAATAATATTGTCTATTGAGGAAAAACATTAAAGAAAGCAATGATAATTATATACTGAATGTATATATGTGCATGCATGCATACATTATAAGGTTCATGTACACAGGAAAAGTTTAGATATTTAACTGCATAATATAGCTGTTGTATGGATTCTGTTTATGCTGCTGTAGACCTATGCAATTAACACTGCTCTTGTAGTAGGGCTCTATCATGGAAAAAGACTGCATGTACATGTACTGCTAATTTCTATAGCATGTAGTTTTAAAACCAGGCAAATAAATGGTTCAATTTGTAGAGCATACATCCCAGCTGTGAGTAGCTGGAGCAGCTTTATACCTGCTGCTTCTGCAGGATTGCAAGAGCAAGTACAACTGCAGGAAGCTATAGCTGGTCAGCTTCAAGAGCCACTTTATAGTATTGATGATTGATGCATGTCAAAGTTCTTCTATTGGGGTAAGGCTATGAACCAAAGGGTTTATATCTTTTTTCAAAGCAGTATATCAAAAACGATAGGTACAATTTATGGATTGGGAAACTCAATTAACTAATAGACTCAGTCTCTCAGACTAATGTGGTGAACCACAAATTAACAGCTCATGGTTGGGACTATTCTGAAGCAGTACAGTAGATGTATAGGCTACTTGTCTTTCCTCTCCTGTACTGCTTCCATAGTACTATGATAAGAAAACCTCATATTAATTATTGGTGTTAATCCTGTTAGAATAACAGGAAGAGGTTTTGTTATCATAGTAAGGAAGCAGTACAGTAGTGGTAAAATGAGTAGGCCCAGTACTCCCTTTACTCCTCTACTGTAGTACTGTACTGCTTCTAATAGTCCCAGCCATACAAGATGTTAGTTTGTGGTTCACATGGACATTAGTCTGACGGAGTCCATCAGCTAATTACTAGTTGATAACTGTACTATCAGTTGTATATGTTTTTTATTATACGTACCAACACGTATTAGAAAATTTTGAATATAGAAAAATCATGAAAAAAATGAACTTAAAGCTACAGAAATAGCACCAGTATACTCTGCATATTAAAAGTCTCACAATCAATTTTAAAAATAATTCAAAGCCTTGTAACTAATAACTGATTATCACTAATAATAATTAAGTGTCATCACCAATCCCATTCTTTATTGCCACATTCTCCGCCGGTGGGTGGAGTCTATGAAACATGAGTATAGTAAGAATGGAGAGATGAGCAATGAGGTAGTAGGTCGCCTTGGCAACTATTTGAGTCTTCTTAAACTGGAGGTACTTGTAAGACACCTAAAAACGAAGAAATCAAATTAAAGTATTCCTAATAATACAACCAATTTATATGTACATGTACAATGTATCTCTATTCTTGTGTTTTATCACACAACAGCAGTTCTCTTTCTTTCTCCCTCTCTCCCTCCCTCCCTCCCTCCCACTCTCTCTCTCTGCTCTCTCCCTCCCTCCCCCTCTCACCATTACTCCTCCAAACAGACCAGTTAGTATAATATAATGTTCAATTGTTACTATTGGTGGACTCAGATAGTAAGCAATACTGTCACTGGCTAGGGGACTAACACACATCAACCTAGCAAATACCAGACTAGGAAATAAGAGACTGGGAGAGAGAGAGGCAGAGGGAGAGAGAGAGGCAGAGGCAGAGGCAGAGGGAGAGAGAGAGGGAGGAAGAGAGAGAGAGGAAGAGGTAAAGAGAGAGGAATAAAGGAAACATTAGATAAGACAACAATAGAAACATATTGTAGGGTGCCTTTTTTTCAAGGGCTGTAAATTTCATAGATTTCGGAATTTTTTAACATTTGCCAAAGTCAAATATGGTACAAAATGGCAGATGACATAAATTCGCAAAAATTAAATCCACAAAATAAAATCTGCGAAATTTAAAGCCTTCGAAAAAAGGTGCCCTATGGTAATGTGTAGATGTACATGTATTAATTAATAACATGAGAACTATAATTACAGTCATTGATTGATGCACTGTAGTGTACATGTAGTGGGGTTTGGTTATGAGTGTCTCGTATTTAAATGATGTCATTAACAAATATTAATTATTATTTCTCACTAAATTTACTAAAATTAGTATACACCATTAAACGTGTATTTCATGTACATGTATCATCATCATCATTTTTTTAGCCCCCAGGCCGTTAAAAAATGATGATGATGATGTTATTTGTTGATGTTATCTGTGTTATTTTTAACACGTTATTTTATTTTTATTATGATGTTATTTTATTTTTAAAATAACATTTTTTTGTTATTGTTATTGTTATTTTTTGTTTTTGTTACATTTTCTTGTTATTTTATTTTTATTATGATGTTATTTGTTAATGTTACATGTACTTGTAGTATGGTGTGTGGGCGGATCAAAGGCACCGCCAGTGCTACAACTTCCAATAACCGCATGGTAGGAAAATGTAGCACTGTGTGGAATATATAGTACTGCACAGTATAATATGTATGGGCTTTCCTGTTAACCACAAGCTTTGATAGAGGCAAATAACAGCCTCAGCTACATACACTAGACATGTAACAACAATAATAGTGATAAATGAGATCTGATCGTCTTGCACTGGCCACCTGCGGGACTTTTGAAATTTCATTTGATCCGCCCACGCACCACTACAAACCAATCAAAGCACTGTTGATTCGTAGATTACAGAAATTATTGCACTCGGGACAGTCTCGACAAAAATATAGCACTCGGCTTCGCCTCGTGCTACATTTTCCTCTCGACTGCCCCTCGTGCAATAATTTCCGTAACATACTCTCAACAGTGCTTTAACTAATACTTTACTGTGTGTTAATGAAGAAATCTAGCAATCAATAATCTTCAATGGATCAGGATAACAACAAGAGATCAGAATGAAGTTGAATTATTATTAGTAAGAGTGAATTATTATTGTTATTATTATTATTAATACCTTGATATCAGAGGTAGTTTAACCCACAGTGATAATGCACGAGAACTTCCAACTAGCACTAAGAGAAAACCAACCGTCGTCACAATAATGAAATGAGTGTAATCAATGTTGGACCAACTCCAAGCTATGAGCTCTGGAGAGAGAGAGAGAAAGAGAGAAAGAGAGAGAGAGAGACAGAGGGAGAGAGAAAAGTGGGAGAAACTTCAGCCAAATTTTGCCAAAATTGAAAAGGTAAGAATTCTCCATTTTAATTACATTCTATATTTCCTGATGCATATACATGTACTTATCTTGCATAGAAACTTTGAGCTGATTCTGATCAAAATTAGATTTTTACAAATTTTTAAAGCTACAATGTAGCTACTGCAAAATCAGACGAAGTACATGTACATGTACATGTTGTTGTTATAGTTGCATGTACACGCCAATTTTCCAGTATACATGTATGCTGTACATGTACAGAGTTGGTTATTGGTATAGTCATTAATACTGACACTGACCATTAGCATGAATGACATTCTTAGTACATGACATGAAGACTGAATACAGACACTCTCCTAACACACAAGACAATATACCCTTAAATAAATAAAAATAAATAAATAAAATAATAATAATAGTTATCAGTTAGGAATAAATAATTACCTGAAATACTCCAACAATACAGTCAGAGGGATAGTGAGCTCCCAGTAGTATCTACAGTAGAATATACAGTACAGGATGTAATGAGAATAATGATGGATGATAAGGTACAGTAAAGCAAGGTTTTATAATAAAAAATATATTTTAAAATTGAGGCAATTTCGGATACATTTTTTGAGAAAAGTTGAAAGGCTTATAGCCTTGGGCATTTTTTTAGAATTTTGACATTTTCATAAAATGGCCGTAACTTGGAAATTTGAAGTCGGAATCAGCTCAAACTTTCTACACAGCATAAGGACATCAATATGTATCAGAAATTGTAATAAAAATTTGGAGTGATTTCGGAGCCATTTTTCAGAAAAAACCATGGGCTATAGCCTTGGGTATTTTTCCAAATTTTGCCATTTTCTTAAAATGGCCATAACTTGAAAATTTGAAGTCGGAATCAGCTCAAACTTTCTACACAGCATAAGGACAGCAATATGTATCAGAAAATGTAATAAAAATATTGAGTGATTTCGGAGCCATTTTTCGGAAAAAAACCATGGGCTATAGCCTTGGGTATTTTTCAGAATTTTGCCATTTTCTTAAAATGGCCGTAACTTATAATTTTGAAGTTAAAATCAGCTCAAACTTTCTACACAGCATAAGGACATCAATATGCATCAGAAAATATAATAAAAATTTGGAGTGATTTTGGAGCCAATTTTTTGAAAAAACCATGGGCTATAGCCTTGGGTATTCCTTGAAAATTGGTCCATTTTTAAAATGACCACAATTCAATTTTTTTTAAATCACCTCAAAATTTCTACACATTTCTACTGTACACAAGTACATGTATATACATTATTATTGGTAATTTCACAGTCACTGAAGTAGTGGGCCTACCCTACTGACAGTAGTGATGAATGGTATCACCACGTAAAGTATAGTGATCATCATATAGAATATGAAGAGACCATCATTGGTAGGATCATTGAGTGACAGATATGATAAATGGAATATATAAGTGAACACAACTCCACAAGTAACAGTCCTAGCTGGGAATGAGGAGGTCTTATCACTGCACCCCTGAGGAGGAGGAGGAGAGAAAGGACGAGTGCTTTAAAGTTATACCTTACTAATAGTGTGTGTACTGCTATTATCAGTATTAATGGACACTGTATATTGGGGGGTTCGGTCTACTAACTTTAGCTGATATTAATAGTCATTAATGTGTACATTTACAAGTAAATTTAGCATTTGTTGTATAGAAGGAAATTTTGGAGGTAGTTAAATTTGGCAAATTTGGCGTTTTGATAGCCATTCACCAAAATAAAAATCCACCATTTTGAGCCATTATACGCATGCTCAATGGCACGTGGCCACAAATTCACCAATCACCAAAATTTAACAATTCGCCTAATTTAGCTCCCTCCAAAATTTCCTTCTATACAGTAAAATCTCTCAATTAAGATGCTAATATTAAACCATTACTACACATAATAGTTAATCATTACATTACTTAATAAATATTTAATTTCATTACATACTATCTTAGCTCTGTTGATCATGTATGGCCTGAACCTCCACAGTAGTCTCTTTGGTGCTTGTGATATTATTAATAAAACAATTGATTGACATAACACTGAGAGTACAGCTCTATCCAACCCAGTGTATATTAATAAATATGGAAGAAAAGCAGCAACTTCAACTGAGAATATTGCTAGGAGAGAGAGAGAGGAGAAAGAAAGATATTACATGTACATGTAATGATTAAAGGCTGGTTTACAATGTTACGCTAGTCCTGACGTTATGTTGACACAGGAGTTGAATTTAGTTCAACC